TTCTTTAATTTTCTTTAAAAAATTTAATATAAATTAATTATTTAGTAAAACTGTATAAAAAATTAAAATTAAAAATAAAATTTTTTAATATTTTCTTTATTTTTCTTTAAAAAATTTAATATAATTAATTATTTAGTGAAAAATCTTTTAAATTAATATTAACATTAATAATCTAATAAACAATAATCAATTTATAGTATTTAATTTTATTTTCTACTTAAAAATTAAAATTAAAATTATATTTGATTAACATTTTAAATTTAAAAAAATTAATTAGATTTAGATGAATCACTTTGAATTAACTTGATTTGACTCGACTCAAATTTGACCCAACTTAGTTGGATTTGGGTAATTTTGATTTGAATTATATTTGAATCTAAATTGATACCTTGGAAGTTTAAACCCATAACTTTACTCATAATGAATGGATTAGGTCAGGTATTTGGATTGGATCCAATTTTATCAAATCTAATAAAAGTAGAGAATTGTGTTCCTGACATGATGGCAATCATGCTGGTAAGGAATTGTTATATTGGTGTTGAGATGACAATAGGTAACGGAATTTAACGAGCACATGATGTTGCCATTGATTTTACAGCTCTTTAATTTAGGTTGAAAAGATAACAAACCAAAACTTTCATATTGTAAGTTGAGGAGTTGGTACTCTCATAATCAGTAAAATGGAGGGCTGACCAAGGATTTTTGCCATTAATCTTGAAGGGTTGTTCTTTTTTCTTTCCTTTTTTTTATTTTTATTTTTTTTAATGCTAACCTTGAAGTTGAGAATTAGTATTAGGTTTACATATATATATTGGATTGTAAAATGAGAAATAATTTTTTTATTTTTTAATTTTATTTTATTCATATATTTTACGATTGAAATTCAATATTTCTGACTTTTAAGAGAAAGAGATGTTGATACATTTTTTTGAATACAGAATTGTTTTATTTCTGAAGAAAACGTTAACAATACTCAATAAATAATGAAAGTCTTCCACTAAAAATTACTAATAAACTCTCATAATTTTCTTTCTTTGCATTCGCACTTCCATATTTCTGGTTGTTAAGAAAAAATTAGAAATATTAGGAGCTATTTGCTGACCTACGAGTGGTAGCAGCAGCAAAAAGCCAAAAACAGAGACTTAAGTGCACGCTGTAAGATTTTTGGTTGGGAAAACGCTTGGCCATTACGGTCTAAAGACTCTCTTAAAACCTTTTTCTACGTTTGAAATTTCAGAGCCTATATTTCAAAGCATTTTATGGGCGGTGCCGGTAGAATTGGTTAATAGCTGGATCCTCGGCTAGGTTGATTGTATTCAGCATGTCTTCAACAGGACGATCAAACAGATCACTTTCACCAGATTTTCTACACGGAAAGCATTGGCACTCACACAACTACTCTGAAGAGAGAGGGAAATGATGTTTGAATTTTTTTTTTTTTTTTTTTTTTTTTTTTTT